AATGAGTGATGAAATGCCACTGACGGATAACACAACAGGGGCCATCACTGGTATTGTCGCAGTAGGTGGCGTAGGAAATGGTACGTTGGCTTCTTTAGTGAACACTGATGAGAACGCGGTGTTAAAGATATTGGCACAAACTGTGTCGCTTACGTCTTCATTTTTACCGTTTGTAAGCATGATGTCTCGTGTTAGTTGCAGGTTCATGATTTCCCAGAATTTTCTAGGGTTAGATTTCAGAATTTTAGATAAATCATTGTGATAGAATGTCTGTTTCGCTTTTCTAATTTCAGCATAATAAGCATCTTCCGCAGCATAGTACTTGCCCCATGCGCATGCATTACCATTAAACTTCGCAGCTCGGAGGAGGCGCTTTTTTTTATTTTCAAGTGTTTTCAAACTTTTGGAAAACCATGGTTTATTTTTATTGGCAGTAAAGCTCACTGTGGGGATTAATTTATTAGTCAAGTCAGTTATCTTGTCCTTAAGCATTAGCCAGCTGTCATTGAGAGAACAGGAACCGAGATTGAGTTCGAAGTGTGGTAGGAAATCTCGTAATTCACGATTAATTAATTCATAATTACCCTTATCATACAAGTGAATCGTTTTGCGGAAAATGGGCGTATTTTTGGGGTGAAGTTAAATATGATATGAATGACTTTGTGATCGCTGATTTCACGTAAGTATGCAATAGATTTTAAGCTCTTGGGGCTATTTGTTAGTACCAGGTCTAAAATGTTTGAGGATTCACTAGTGACGCGCGTTGGTTCGGTTACCTGTTGGATGAGGTTAAAGTTGAGGCAAACATCCATGAATCCTCTTGCTTCAGTATTTCCCGAGGTTAGTGAAACCTGATTGAACCAATTAATGGAGGGAAAGTTAAAATCCCCATAAAGCAGAATACGTGTGTTAGGGTGTTTATTAGTTAGCTGGGATAAGATTTCGTTAAGTTTGCGGGGGAAGTCTGGGTCAGTTCGAGGGGACCTATAGCATACGCCAAGTATTATTGCTTCGGGAGGGGCACGGCATATTACCCATAATGATTCTAGTTGTGAAGATGTGTTGATTAGAGAGCATGATAGCTCTTCTTTAGTGGCAATGAGTACACCTTCGCCACGTGCATTTTTACGATCGTGACGAAAGAATATGGTATTTATCCCGCACTAACTTAATAGTTAGTGCGGGAGTTTCAGATCAATTCCACCCCATTTTTTTAGCAATATATCTATAACATGTGGTACAAATAGTTTCTGTTAGTAATTTCACAAATGACAACACTATTATCAGCAAATCATGACGAAATTTAGATGTGAGCAAGGAAGGGGCATTGGCAGTTAAAATGAGAAATAAGATGGGCTTAGCTGAGCACAAAGTGAGTTCAATTTCATGCGAAGCATTCAAAGTACTAAACTTTGTTCGGTAGTGCCAAGGTCCAGATGACTTAATTTTAAAGTAAATGTTTATGACTGACCTTGTCAAATGTGTTAGAAAATTCTAAAATAATTCAGTCTATGAATCACTGCATCAAGAGAATGGCACAATTTATGAGTAAATAAGTGGAGTCTAACTTTGAAGCGTAGTTTTAAATCTATACTGCATAGTGTTGTATGAAATGTAGGGCGATATAGACGTACTTAGCTGCTGAATAAGCTTTGTTAAAATATAATAATAGTAGTGGTATTACAACATATGTGCAAGTTAAAATGAGGAAAAATAATAATTAATTTTTTAAATCCCAGAAGAAAAAAAGAAAATTAAAAAAAATGACAGCATATTCATGGAGTGATTGATGATGAGTGGGGTGAAGCGTCCGTCCGTGCATGCGTCTATGCGTCCGATCGCATTCGAGAATGCAGATGACGCATGGGTAACACCAATGAGACGCGTGCCAAAGGAGTCGAGCGCAAGCGTCTTTAACGTGCCCGCCACTCTGCTTCGTTCATGCCCCACCAACGATCCACTACGTATGGTGACTATAAAGGATACTGAGAGATCCGCTCATTCTATGCATACACAGGCACAGCCCCCCCATGCAGCCAATCTGAGAGGAGGGGTACAGCGCCATGTAGTTATCTTTACCTAACTGCAGTTTCTATGTAATTCTTAAGAAAGCGCTGTTTATTATACTGTTCGGCAAATACTGCCTTCTTTTCTTTGTTTTCTCTTCTCTTGGTTATGCGTGACGGTTGTACCATATCTAAGGACACAGTGAAAGATGAGGCATCAGAACCAAAAGGACTTATTTGCTTTGCATTCTTTTATGATTTGGGGGAAGTATGAATATTTATAGCAACTTGATTTGAAAGTGTATTTATTAAGTGTTTGTCAGTGCCTGTAATGTGTTAACTTAAAACGACAGAAAAAAATTACTTTTGACGTGTCGATGTTTATGTCACTATGAATTTATTGAAACAAAATCTTTAGTCTTGCTATTTTTGCCCTACATTGTAGTGTTAATAGACCAGCTTTCGTTTGCAACTCAGTAGGAGAATTCGTTAGATTGCATTTGTTATAAATATACCTCATTGCCTTCCTGTGCACCCCCCTTTTAATCCTCACAATTAGTTAATTTGTATGCAGAAACCAAACAATACTATTATAATTATGTTAGTAATATATTTACTATTATTATTATTATTATTGCATTGGTAACATTGCACTTGATTTGCAGTTTACTCATTAAATCTGTATTTCACTGTTACACGGTTCAAGGCAGTATTTATAATGTGCTTACAGAGACCTACATATTTTAACTGCGTTTAATGGACTCAGATATATCAGCCAGTCTTGTGGCAGGACAACCCTACAGGACAAGAATATTTTCGTCATTTCAGGACATCCCGGGGATGTTTTGGATTTTTAAAGGAGGTACGTATTAGGGAATGACTGATTCACGGCTACCTGTTTTTCATGCAACCTTACCTTATCTCCAAAAGATCAGGTGATGGCAGTAGGAGGCAAAGCAGTTAGACCTTTTCGGAGTAGCTTTATGTTTTTCTATAAATTGCAGTGCCATGTCCTCCTCTGGCAGAGAGGTGCTAGACAATAGGAGGTAAGGGAGTGCCAGTCCCTTTAAACTTCGATGCAGCACACAGCAATATTTGGTTGTGCATATGTCCTGTGCTTTACACAAACTGTTTTTTAGTTGTTTGCACTGCTCGAAATACCCTGTGCCTTTTTGAAATGAAACTTGTACTGGCATACAATGAACTGTAAATCTTCTCAGCATTAGATGTCAAAAAAAAAAAACCCATCATGAAGGCAGCGAGCCCTTATCACTTATTTGCCTTGCACTACAGCTATTCTGGGATGAAGAGAATGCCATAAGGAAGATAATAATAATAATAATAATAATAATAATAATAATAATAATTCACACCAACTGGTTTCATTATAACAAATGATTCCAGCTGATTCCATTTCCAGGCCAGCTGGTTTCATTTTAAGTCTCGAGTGCTTCATGCTCGGACCAACTGGAACATGTTGCTAATCTGTTGGCTTGTACTTAGTCCCACCTGTATACAGCCATGGTTTCAGTTAAAGTGAACTGAAACCGTGGAGTATTTTCATCTGGAAAGGAAAGAATGTAGAAAGTGATGCATCCAAAGGCAGAAAAGAAAACAATGAGGAAAGATAAAACAGGGAACAGAGCAAGAAAAAAAAGGCGAGCTCTCAAAGAGAAAGAGAGAAGAAAAGAGAGAAAGAAGGAGGAACACGCATATTGAACTTCTCTCGCCCTCATTTTTGAGAGCTCCTCGTTTTTTCCCTATGTGTCACTTTTTTACCATTACCTGGCTAAATTTTTGCTCCTATACACAGATCGATTTAATTGATGGCGCACTCAGATTTAGCGTACATGCTCGTTATCACATCCTGTCCCAAAATTCTCATGCCTGTCGTGCCAGAAAACAGCCATGCAAGGAAATGTGGTCAGACATTGCACGGAAGTCTTATTCTGCTACCATACAATGTCACAGTGCGATGTCAGTGACACCTAAGGTCGCAGAAACAGACACTGTTCATGGGTACCCTTCACTGCCAATAACTGCAGTGGCATGCACCAGGGCTTCAGCTGTGACTGTTTTCGCTCAAGTAAAACGGCGCCTGTGCGTGCTCCTGCACTTGTCGGTGGTGTGTGGATGCAGCACAAAGTGAAGAAGACTGGGCATACTGCCGTGCCACTGTGCTCTGCTGCTTTTGAGCAGAGCCCACCTTCTGACTGTGGGCCACCCGACGCCTGCGGCGTAACATTCACGGTGAGCCCCCAGTCAGAAGGTGTGGCTCTGCGCAAGGACTGCAGTGCGGCTGACACCAGTACTTCCTCACCTCGTGGTGAAGACCCTGAACAGGAGCAGAAAGCAACATCAGCAAAATTGTCACACAGCCATATTTGCACAGGTGGAGGAAATATTTCTGTAGGGAGCACATTCAGCCCTTATAAAGAGTTTAAAGCTAGCTTTGAAGGATGGAAAAGTGAAGGGTTTCATCCGATGCATATTGAAAGATCAGATAAAAACCCATTGTGTACTGAGAAAGATTTAAACAAAGCAGACTTTCCACTAATCCTGCGGCTGGTACGATGAACAAGAGTGTCGACTCGCACTGGGCTTGTGGTGCAGCTTCCAGGGGGGATCTGAAACATCCGTAAAAGGCTACCCAGCACCTCCGCCATTCGTCACATCACTCCAGGGGTCTAGAGAAGGTTTACCAAGGTCTGAGCAACAGGATTCTTACCAAGCACGTTGGTTGCGGTTGCTCCCCAGAGCGAGGACACAGGCACACTTCTTTCTTTAGTGGTCTAAGCCTTTGCCTTGGCATATGACCCACTGCTAGAAGCGGGTGGCAGTATGGTAAAAGATGCAGTGGAGTGCCGCGTTTAAGTGCAACTTTGATGCTGCTAGCTAGTACATCTCAAACAGAACTTCTTGTTGGCCTAGTTGGTGCATGTTAGTAGAAAGACTAAAGTGCCAATGAGACAAACACAAAAAATACGCAAACAATTGAATTCTCAGGTCACTTTATTGCAAGATGAATAGAAATTGTGGTGACGTCTCAGCAAGCGCAAGCCACCTGGATGCATTTTTCAAGCCGGCTAGATTTCTCGTAGGCTGTCCTGATCACCTGCATAACAATACGGACACAGTGAAACTTCAACACAAACTTCTCTACACAGGGTGTGCTTTTCTTAGACAACAAAATTTTTAAATAAATTATCATTACAAAAATGCTCCTGACATTTTTGCCCACGAATTCCATGTCAAGACGGAAATACCTTGTTCTAAATAAAATTATGTTGGCATCACTATTTAACAAAAACTTGTGATTTAACCTTCTAATTTATGACAGCTTTTAACAGCCTCAAAAATACTAGTGAGAAACACACAGCACTGAACTGGTTTACTTTGAATACAAGATTTTATGGCACGTATCAAAGCAATAAAGAGATTTTAAGATGATATGAAACAGTCGAAAGCCCTCATGACAAGTTGCCAAAAAGGACATTCGAGCAATGGTGACAACGCAGTCGAAAACCTAAAGGGCCCCTAAACCATCTCCGATATGTTTTAAAACTTTTTCAAGTAAACATACACATCGTGTGGAGAATGCCGTCGCGATCAACGATTCTACATGATGAAGCGCTACGAGCCGCCAATGCGCCACCAATTCCAAGAACCAATCCGCCCTTCTTGCCGGGCCTTTGGGGCCTCTACGTGATGCCGTACCAATATCTGTGGAGCATCGTTCAAATATCCACGCTAGCCACAAATATGCTGTGATTGGTCAAGAGCCTATCGCTTCCGCTTAGTTTGCAAGCAGCTGTCCACGCTGCTTATTTGGCTTATTGTTGTTTGCCGTGTTGCCCACACATGTGGGTACGAGTCCACCGTGTCGCATTGGATGGAGTTTAGAAAGAGATGCGAGTCCGAGGTTACATGGCAAACCAATTTTAATACTACACAAAATGCAATAAAAAACAAACACACAGTAACTGGCTATACAGCGAAACTAGAACTTCAATCCGAGTCAAATTGAATCCCTAACCCTAATCTCTCTAGCCCAAATGATGATTTGGTAACGAAATGTTTTTACAGTTCACCCCGTTGTCGCATCGACTATGTGCCCTTGCCGTGTCGACAGTTTGTCGAGTCTGTCATTGACGTCCTTCTCAAGCACCTACGGTCATCGTCGGTATTTTCCGCCCAACGCGCCATTTGTGTTCATTGTCGGTGTCCTGATCTTATCTGTCATCTTCGACCCACTTGGTCAAACCCAACTTGTCCATGGCCTGACACATTCTGATGACTAGTGTGGGACACATTCGTTCTGGCTCGAAGTGGAAGAGCTGTACAGTTGACGACCGATTTCCTAGACCCTCAAGGGACCGTGGAAACGTCCGGAAAAACGAGCGCACGTGAAAATGCAATTTTTTTTGCAGGTATTTTTCGCTGATGGAGAGGTTAACGATTCGAGTCAATGCATCGCAACTGAGTCAATTCAGCCAATGCATCGTTTAGGTGACTCTGAAAAGAGCCGTTTATAAAAAGAAGAAAGAAAAAAATCCGACGTGGCCGGCTCTACCTAATAGGTCAGAACTTGGGTGCAAAGAATTGGCCTATTTTCTATTTCACCGTGTTTCGCTTGTCAATGATCATGTCTACTTCAATTTCAGTCAACGTCATGTTGCCGCTGTACACCAATGACAGTGTCATCACTGCTCGCGCCAACTCCGAGCTCCTTGGCTGTGCAGGAGATGGCTTTCTGCTCTTGGTGTCGCAGCTAGCGGAATCCTCCATAACTTCACGAATGATTTCATCATCGGTCAAGTCCGCACATAGCTCAAGTCCTAAAAGGTTATCCAGGCTGGAGTCGACACGTCAACAGCTCGCAGATCGTCGAAGGCAGCATCCGCGGATGGCAGTTCGTCACACACACTGTCCACTCGAGGCGAGACGCGTCGAGTGTGAAGCCCGCATGGGGAAAGCAGTTCTGCAGTCTCTTGCGCAACTGCCTTTCACGATTCCGCTAGCATGCCGACGGCAGACCTGAGGTTAACAGCGTAGCTTTTCCCATTGTCAAAGCAGAGCACCATGCGGCCGAGCACGCGTGATTTGTAATGATGCTTTAAGTTCCGAATCGCGCCTTGGTCCATCAGGATAGCTGTGGTGTTCGGCGGCAGAAATTCGATATGTATAGCCTTTAGGTCCTTGATGTGACCATGCGCAGCGCAGTTATCCACAAACAGCAGAACTCTTATATTTTGCTGCTCGAACCTTCTGTCCAGCTTGCACACATATGCTTCAAATAACTGCTGCGTTACCCACGCGTTCTTGTCAGCTTCATAGAGAACAGACAGAGTCACGGCCCCCTTGAAACATCTTGGATTCTTCGACTTGCCTATTACTAGTAACGGAAGCTTCTCGCTGCCTGACATGTTGCTGCCAACGAGGACAGTGAGCCGCTCCTTGCTGTGCTTGCCGCCATGGCAGGGGTCACCAGCAAATTTCAAGCGTTTTCACTGGCAGCAGCTTGTAGATCAGTCCAGTTTCGTCGCAGTTGAAAATATCATTAGGTGGAAATTGCTGAAGCAAGGACTGCAGCTTTCAATCCCGATATTCGGCAACAACGGAATCGTCGACGGCGCCGCTTTCTCCGCACATCTTCTTGAATTTTAAGTCATTGCAGCTCTTGAAATTGCGAAGCCATCCATCGCTGAACTTGAAGTCCTTCATGCCCATCTGAAGCACAAAAACCTCTGCCTTCTGCTTCAGGATGTTGCCTGACACCGGGATTTTCTTCGCGATCATGGCACTGAGCAACACCGCGAGCGCTTCCTCGAGCTTGAGGTAAACAGCCTGGCTCGCATTCTTCTTTCCAGTCCCAGTTGATTTGGCAGCCACTTCCAAGATGTTCCCCTTGTTTTTGATGAAGTCTGAAACAGTTTGCTTCGAAATTCTGAACTCCTCCTTCACCTCTGCCTGCGACCGACTGCGTTGGAGCTGTTCAATGATGGCGGCTTTCTTCTCCATCGTGAGCCTACGAGGGGACTTTGTGCACTTCGAAGACACGGACGAAGACAAAGGAGCAGTCGGTGCCATTGCTGTGAACGGCAAATTCGCTTGACGAAAAGTGCAGCATAATACAGCTAGGAAATTGGTGGATGCTGAAGATTGGGATTTGTGACCACTAAAAATAGCCCACAGTAGCAAACGATCAACCGCAGACACGACCGCAGAGCTGACAAAACAACACGTGAACGAACACAGAGAGGTTTGGCTTGGCTAAGCTACGGCTGGCGATGGATTGAAACGCGCGGTTTCGAGGTTACGGCAGCCGTGGTGCGGTGCGGCGGCCGGCGGCAGTGCTGCTGGCCATACCTGTGATCGAGTATGGCGGGTTTGAGGATATGAAAACAACCAAAATGGCGGCGATGGTGGTGACTTTGGGTCAGCGGTTAACAGTAAAAAGTCAGAGAAATCGGATGCTGAGGGCTATGAGCGTCCAGAAGCTCGGACTATTTAATACATTGAGTCTATGGGGAACTTGACGGTGCCACAGATGAGTCCAGGAAATCAGGCATGCCCTGAATTTCGGGCGTCCAGGAAATCGGACATCGACTGTAGTCCCCCCAGGTACTGCTGTGCCACTTCTCGGGCCTTTTACGCGGACGTCCTTCAGAAGCGGGCAGCTCTACTGCGTTCGTTGTTGTAGCGATACTGACCTTCCTTCCTTTCCTTCACAGTTGCAAGCTCTACAGCACAGTGCTAGCTCATCCTCTGATTTTCCATCACGGCTGGAGTCGCCTGCCACGAGCCTTTTTTCGACCAATCTTGTATGTGAACTTGGCGTGTCTGCACACCATCGGGGTCTCGCGCACCGACACCGCATTCCAGTGCCCGGCACGTGCCTCCGGCCTCTTACAGTGTGCACAATGCAGGGTACCGTATTTACTCGCGTAATCTACACACTCGATAATTCTCACACCCCCCACATCGCCCAACAAAAATATGTTTTTTTTTCCTCGAGTAATTATCGCACCCCCGAAAACTGCCGCAATAATGTCGTCTGCTCGTTCCAGCCACTGATGATGATAGCACGCACCATCTGGTGCTATCTCTTAAGCATCAAGCATACTGTTATTGCACGAAGATTCAATCCAAGCCAAGCCAAGCCAAAGTGGCAAGTGCGCATTGCGGCGCGTTTTGTATGTTGTGTCGGTAATCTTGTCAAGTTATGGGGCGATACTGAAGCTACACGACTGCTTTCAAGTTGAAAGTGATAGATCATGATCTAAAAAACGGCAACAGGGCCGCCGGTAGGCCTTTCGGAGCATATGAGTTATGTGTTCGCTACTGGTGACGGCATCTGAAAGCCACGAAGACACCTTGGGCCTGCTGTGTTCCTAAAACTGGGATTGATGGTAAACTTAATTTTTTCAGAAAAGAAAACTGCTGACGCTTCTGTTAAATAGTTATCCGCCCAATACTGACGTCCTACGCTTACCTTTTGAGGGATCCTGTTGAGCATCGAACGCTACTGCCACGCCCGTAACGCCCACAAGCTTTGCGTATGGTATTCTAATTCTTGACTATTTGCTTGCACTTTTTGTGTTTCAAATAAATCTTGCCTCGTGTTGAACCTGTGCTTTTATTGTTAAGGTAAGTTTTAATTAGTACTTCTCAAAGTTTGCTGTTAGTTGCTGGTGTGAGAATCCCGGTTTGCGGCCACTTCATTTTTGTATGTTTTCGTGGAAAGTTTTCCCCGCGTAACTCTCGCACCCCCCAACTTTGCATTGGTTTTCCACCAAAAAAAAGTGCGAGGATTATGCGAGTAAATACGGTACATGCCGGCACGATTCCTATAGGCACGGGCTGGCATTGCAGCCACGGTTCGCCAACAACATAGACTTTCATACAATAATACCTAGAAAGGAATCTGGTGCTGCGATCGTGTACCCCCCCCGGGAATTATGGGAAGTACGGCCTTCAGATTGGATTAGATTTGCTAATAAACTGTCTATGAACCTTTTTCTACGGTTTAAGTTTCGTTCTCCGCGCAGCGCGAGTAGTGGTGTGCGGTGAAAAGCATTGAAGCAGTGCCTTTGTTGTTCGTAGAGGCTGAAG